GAGCAAGAAAGGTATTAGGACACAGATGAGAGGGATGGCGCATTTCCAGAAGGAAGTGGTCACTGGTATCAGATACTGTCCAAGGCAATCCAGCTACTTAGGGACAGGGTTGAAATTGACAACGGAATCAAACTCATCACTGCACTAGAACAACTGGGAAATATTTTCTTTTTGGGTCACACCCAGCGATGCACAGGAATTACTCCTGGCAGTGCTCAGGGGACCCTATGAGATGCTGGGAATTGAGCCTGGGTTGGTCGTGTGCAAGGCAAACGCCCTACCCGCTGTGCTATTACTCCAGCCCCCCCCTTTTTTGAGGGGGCCATGCCCAGTGATGCTTAGGGGTTACTCCTGGCTCTGCACTCAGGAATCACTCCTGGCAGTGCTCGGGGGACCATATGGGATGCTGGGAATCGAACCTGGGTTGGTCGGAGTGCAAGGCAACCAACTGTGCTATCACTTCAGTCCCTATCATGGATTTTCTTAAACACAGGTTCTGTCATTTGCATGTGGAAAGACCTGCTGAAGGTGATACAGGAAACAGAGAATCCACAAAAGAAGGGAGAAACAGCTTGTGAGAAGCAGGCAGCATGCCAACTATACCTAGAATTTAACCTCTGAAGTCCCTGAGCTCCTGCAAGACCATCTCCTTCGTGGCTTTAAGGCGATCCCCCACCCAGCCCCAGTTCTCATATTCTGCCCTAAGTGGTAGTTAATACAAACGTTGTGAGGACAGGGAGGAGGCATTTGCCCTGCGCATGGCCCCCCTATGTTCAAACCTGCCGAACTCTCTAAGGTCTCCCGCCCGGGCACTGCCAGGTGTCTCTTCTAAGCACAGAGCCAGGAACAGCTGCTTAGCAGGATGATGTGTGGCCTGACCCAGACCTCCAAAGAAACAAAAAAGCAATGGGCACTGGAGCGAGAGTACAGCCGGCAAGGCACTTACTTTCCCTGCAGCCCTATCCTGGCACCGTGGACCCTCCTAGAAAGCCCCGCCAGGAGTGACCCCTGAGCACAGAGCCAGGAGTAAGCCCTGAGGCCAGGTGTGGCACCCAAATCAAAATCAATAAAATCAAATGCCAATAACATGAATTAGAATGGCATTTAAAACATTCTCACAGGGGCTGGAGTGATAGTACAGCGGGTAGGGCGTTTGCCTTGCATGTGGCTGACCCGGGTTCAATCCCCAGCATCCCATATGGTCCCCGAGCACCGCCAGGAGTAACCCCTGTGCGTAGCCGGGTGTGACCCCCAAAAAGCAAAAAATATAATAATTTTTAAAAATTCTAACATCAGGACCATGTGATGAAATCTCTGAGAGTCTGGGGGCTCCACTAGGCGCTCCCCTCCCAACCCCCCCACCCCCCCACCCCCGCTTTAAGCCTGAACCACCTGGGCAGAGGAAATGAGGTGCAAGTAAAGCACCCCTCTGCGCTTTGGGGGGTCCTCAGGTGGGTGGGACTGGAGGAAACCAGTCTGGAGGCGCCCTGCCAGCAACCTTCCCCTCACCCCACCCCACCTCTGGTCAGAACTAGAGGGGGGCCTCCCCCACCTCCCCTGGCACCTGACCCGACCTTACCGCATGCATCCTGTTGGAGCCATGCCCAGAAGGAAGTGAAGTCGGAATCCCCCCTCCCCCCGTTCCCGGACCCAACCGGGAAGTGTCGCGCTGGGCTGGGGCTGGGGCAGCAGGTTCCACCCACCCCCACCTCGGGCCCATAAAGGCAGGGAGCTGGGAGCGCCCCTGGTCATCCTGCGCCCCACTGCCATGGCCCCCTGCCGCGCGCTGCTGGCCGGAGCGCTCCTGGCGCTCGTGGCGCTGGGCGAGGCGAAGGAGGACCGGCGCTGCTGCAGCCCCATCGTGCCCCGCAGGGAGTGGAGGGCGCTGGCCTCCCGGTGCTCCCAGCGCCTGAAACTGCCGGCGCGCTACGTCGTGGTGGCGCACACGGCCGGGAGCCACTGCAACACCCCGGACCTGTGCCAGCAGCAGGCCCGGAACGTGCAGAACTACCACGTGAACACGCAGGGCTGGTGCGACGTGGGCTACAAGTGAGTGCCGAGCGCCACCAGGCTGGAGCTGGGGAGAGGGGCCGGGGCCGGGAAGGAGCAAGGAGAGCCTGCTGGACGAGTCCTGGAGTCCTCGACTCCCTTTCCCGCGCCCCCAGTCTTCCTTTCTCCCAGGGCTCACCTGGAAGGCAACGCATAGGCAGGAATGAAAATGCCAGTTCCTAAGGCTTAAGTTCAGATGGGCTCCCTGGAGGAAGGGGCAGTGGCCCAACACCCTAGAAATCCCTGTGGTTCTTTCAGAGTCCTGCAAGGTGCCTTTGTCACCTGACAGAAAAAAAGGCTGGTGGAGGGGCTGGAGAGATAACAGAGCGGGTAGGGCGTTTGCCTTGCATGCGGCTGACCCGGGTTCGATTCCCAGCATCCCATATGGTCCCCCGAGCACCGCCAGGAGTAATTCCTGAGTGCAGAGCCAGGAGTAACCCCTGTGCATTGCCAGGTGTGACCCAAAAAGCAAAAAAAAAAAAAAAAAGGTTGGTGGAGTGGGAGGTCAGGGGTTCCAGTGCCCCCAACCCTCCCTGCTGGCCTCTGTCCCACTCTCTCCCACTCCAACTTCCTCCTCCCACACAGGATCACCCAAGACATGCAAAGCCCTTAGGCCACCATCTGGAGGGCAGGAGTGGTAGTTCAGAGTTCCCAGAATTCGCGGATTGAGTTGTGTGGTGAACAAAGTGAATCTCTGACTGAGGGGCTCAGAGCTGCCCAGCTGAAACCCCACTCCCATGGGACATTCTGGGGAAGTTGGGGGTGGGGAGGGAAAACCCGGGTCTCAGTGGACTGACAGCGGGGCTAGGGGGATAATCAATCAAGCGGGAAGGGCACTTGCCTTGCACACAATGAACTCAGGCTTGATCCTTGGCACCCTACAGGGTCCCGTGAGTACCTTAAGGAGTGATTCCTGAGTGCAGAGCCAGGAGTCACCCCGGAGCATGGCTGGGTGTGGCCCCAAAACAAAAAGGAAGTGGGCTGAATCACACAGCGGAGAGGTGCTATGATTGACGGGTCTGCTTCTACCCTCAGCTCCCCTCCCCCCCAATTAATGGATGTTAAGTGCATCCAAGGGCCAAGTCTCCCTCCCTCCATCAGGCCCCACCAGCACAGGAAGCTGAGGGCTCTTGCTGGATCTGTGTCTGCAGATGATGTTAATCAGGTCCCTGAGTCTATCATGAGAGTGTCCCTCAACCAGCTGGGAACAGGGCACAGGAAGCCAGCTGGGGCAAGCAGGTGTGTGTGTGTGTCCATGTTCCCTGACTGTGCCACATCTGATTCCCCACCTAGAGTGAAGGCTGTCCTGGCATGTAGCTTTGTTTTGATGACAAAAAAAGGCACCAGCTGAGCTAAGTCTGGCACAAGACCAGTGGAGGACCAGGCGACAGGGGGGCGGGTGCCAGGAATAGCTGCGACAGTGGCAGGGACCAGGACAGCGCTGGTAGAGGAGGGGCCACGTCTCCTCCTCCAGGAAGCCCTTCAGGACTCCCTCCTCTGTACACCCCTAGCTTCCTGATTGGAGAAGATGGACTTGTGTACGAGGGCCGAGGCTGGGACTACAAGGGTGACCACTCGGGGCCCACTTGGAACCCCCGCTCCATCGCCATAGCCTTCATGGGGAACTACATGGGTAAGTGGAGGCAGCTGCTGGGGTGGGTTCGGTGCATTTGCTTCAGGACAGATCAGCTGGTGGTCTCAACCAAGAGACTTGGCTTTTCAGGGCCTTGCCTCCTGCTCGGGACCCTTTCGAACCCAAGGCTCTTTGTGAGCACTGGCCGCAAGCTCACTGTCCAGTGCTCCTCAGGACAGCTGGTGCTGGGACGCACGGCTTACCCAGAGGGCAGTGCTTGCAGTGGTGCAGGGTCTGGCACCCCAGCTGCAGTAGGGGCGGTCAGCCGCACAAGCAGCCTGACCCCCACCTGTCTCTCTAGAGCGCTCACCCCCGCCCCGGGCAATCCGGGCGGCCCTGAGCCTGCTGGACTGTGGAGTGGCTCGAGGGGCTCTGAGCAAGAACTACGAGGTCAAAGGGCACCGGGATGTGCAGCCGACGCTGTCCCCAGGCGACCAGCTCTATGAGATCATCCGGAAGTGGAAGCACTACCGCGAGTGAGGCCGGGGAGCCCCTGCCCGAACTCAATACAGTGCAGAGCAGACTGGCTTGTTTCCTTGGTTTGGGGCCCAGGGTGGAGCTCCGGGGACCACACAATGCGGGGGATCTCACCTGGGCACTCACATACATGGTCTAAATCTGGATACAGGCTCTCTTGACTCCTGAAACTGGGTAGTGGGGCTGGAGCGATAGCACAGCGGGTAGGGAGTTTGCCTTGCACGCGGCCGACCCAGGTTCGATTCCCAGCATCCCAGACAGTCCTCCAAGCATCACCAGGAGTAATTCCTGAGTGCAGAGCCCTCGTGCATCAACTGGGTGTGACCCCCCCCCCAAATAAAAGAGCAACTGGGTAGTGCCTGCCCCAGGCCCCCACCAAGGCCTGAGAGATCCTGTTCAGAAGCAGCCCCACAAACTCAAGAGCCAGACGTCTTGGTCAGAACACGGGAACTGGCACCTGGACATGCCCTCCCCCCACCAACTGGGGTGGGGGGCTCTGCCCACACAGTGGGATGCAGCAAGACAACCCCACTTCATTCACAGCCTCTGAGGAAGGGCTGCTCACAGGCACACCCAGGCCCTCCCCCTCCCCTCTTCACTGTTTAGAGTGTCCCGGTCTTTCCTGAGTCTGAACCCCAATCCTGTCAGTCACAAGAGTGCCCCAAATGGATACCCTCCACCCCCCCCATTCCTCCCCAACCCTTTGGTCTAGAGCTGGGATCCCAAAGGTAAATACATTTATTTACAGGATGGGCAGGGTCAGGGGGTCGGGCCCCAAGACCCCAAAGAGCACCAGTTGGGGGTGGGGCGGAAGTCACGCTGGCCCCGCCCCAGATCAAATCCGGCAGCACCGGCCCTGGCTGGACGTCCCCTCGCGGGTCACGACCGTGTGTCCAGGCGGTTCATGTACTCCTGCAGGGCCTTCAGGCGGGCGTCGATTTCGGCCATGTCAGCCACCTGGTGGTCGGCGCTGTACTCTGGGGGAGGGGAGGGAGGGCGAGGGCTAAAGCCGCGGGCGGGCACCGGGCAGGGCAGCGGAGGGGGTAGCTGTCCAGGTGCGACTCACCTTTCATGGGGAACCAGTTTCCCGAGCTGGCCAGGCGTCTCTGTTGGCGGCCCCGTTCCGCGGGTGGGGCCTTCTGTGGGGGGAGAGAGAAGGTCGCACACCCTCCCGACCCTCCCGACCCGCACACCCACGGGACACGCTAGGGATCTCAGCAGGACGAAGGGCTGGCACCTGCGCTTCCTCCAGTTTGCAAGTAACCGCATCCTGCGCTGCTGCCCTTTGGTGCCATTACCGCGGTTAAGAAAGGGCCCCGAGTAAGGTGCTCGCTCGGCACACGCCTACCGGGGTTTGATTCGCGCACCCCGTGGGGTTCCACCAGCACCGCCAGGAGCTAGGAGTAACCCCTGAGCGTCGTTGGGTGTGACCCAAAACCAAAAGAAGAGAGAAAAAGGAACAGGAGGGTCACACAGCTGAGAGGGGCTATTACTGTCCACCCACCCACCATCCAATGGTCTCAATACACTGTCCAGCCGCAGCTCCACAGCCTGATACCCCCCAAAGGCAGTGAGTGGGGGGGAAAGGAACCTAGGGGGGCTGCTGGTGGTTCCCGCACTCACCATGTTGGACCTGGACCAGGGAGTGGGGCTGGGAGGTTTCCGGTGGCGGCCCACGCTGAAGGGAGGAAAGAATCACAGAGCAATGGGGGTGGGGTGGGGTCTCTGTGGGCCCCCCCACTGCCCCTACTTCTTAAGACCCAGCCCAAGCCCGTTCCTGTGGCTCCCTTCCTGGGTCCAAGTGTTACCCTCTTGGGAGGGATTCCGAGAAATCCTCGTACTCGCTGCAGGAGCTGATGGATGAGCAGCGGCTTCGGAAACTGTCCACTGGGGCGGGGGGGAGCAGAGAGAAATTTGTGGGTGGCCCAGTGCCTCACATGCCCTGCCTCAAACTCCAAGCCCATCCCACTCCCTCACCATGCGCTCCTGAGCCCCACACTCCCCGAGTGCTCCAGCCCCGTTACCCGAGGAGCTGCGGTGCCGGGAGCGGTTAGCCGCATCCCCTCGGCCACTGCTGGCTGCGGGGCCCCGAGTCTGGCGAGACCAGGAGACAGCTGGGCCATCCCCACGGCCGTCCCCGCTTCCACCACTGCCTAATCGGTTCCGCTGCTGCTGCCTGCGGGGGTGAAAAAGGAGATGCCGGGGGCTGAAGCGATAGCACAGCGGGTAGGGTATTTGCCTTGCACGTGGTCGACCCGGGTTTGATTCCCAGCATCCCATATGGTGCCCCAAGCACCGCCAGGAGTAATTCCTGAGAGCATGAGCCAGGAGTAACCCCTGTGCATCGCCGGGTGTGATCCAAAAAGAAAAAGGAGATGCCCCCTGTGCACCCTACTAATGGGGGTTGGGGGAGGTGCTGTGGGTCACCCACGTCCCGTCATGGGAGGGGGAGGAGGAAGGAGAGAGAAAGAGAGAAATGAGAGAGCTGAAAGCAGTGCCATGGGCTTCAGTGGGGAAGGCGAAACTGACCTAGGTTTGATCCCCATCATCCCCGGGTCTCCCCAGCACCGGGAGGAGTGACCCCGGAGTGCAGAGCCAGGGGTAAGCCTTGAGCACCACTGGATGTGACCCAGAAACCAAAAAAGAGGTGCTAGCTAGGGCTAGAGAGATAGGAACCGGGCAGGGATTGCGCGCAGGACTTGCACTTGCGGGCCAGGTGCAGGGCCGGGGAGTGGGCAGGGCAGTAGGCAGGGCGGAGGGCGAGGGCACTAACTTCATCCTGAGCTCCCGCTGCTTCTTCTCCTTGGCTTTCACAAAGGCTGTGGGGTCGAAGCGGGGCGCACGACCACCTAAGATGAGAAGGGGGTGGGAGGAACGGTAGCTGGGATCACACCGCGCCCTCATAGCCCGCGGCCGTCCCCCCTCCTCGCAGGGACAGGCTCGGTGGGCACAGACCTGTGGGCGAGGGCGAGGGGCGGGCAGGGCGGCCCTGGCCCCGGCCGCCGCGGCCGCTCTCCCGGGACGAGGAGCGGGTGGGGCCGCGGCCACGCGAGGTGGAGCGCTCCCGGGACGAGGACGCGCGATCCTCTCGGGCCGGGGGCAGCACCACGGGCGAGGTCCGTCTCCTGCGAGCACAGGCCCCCCTGGCCCCGTCAGAACAGCTGGTCTCAAGCCCTGCACACCGGCACAGGCACCCCCGCTCCCGGGTGCACCCCCCCCCAATAATCCCTCAGTCGCTGCCCTACACGCCTACAGCCAAACACGCCCCTTTAACCGGGTCCGCCTCACGGAGGGAGCCCTACTGTCCCGGGAAAGTCGGAAAGTCGGCGGGCGGATTTAAACCAGCCCCCCACCGGCGGCAGCGGCACACCTTGGCTTTCACCTAACCCCTCAGGTCGAATCCTTTCCAAGGCTCCTACCTACACGCCCATCTCACAGGCCCCGCCCTCCCCTTCTAGCCGTCCAGTCCAAAGCCCAGAGGCACCTTAGCCCCGCCCCCACACTATCTCGACCCGAGCCCCGCCCCCCTCCAGGTCGGTCTAACCCAGAGCCCCGCCCCTTACTCAGACCCCGCCCTCCCTCCGGTTCCTTCTACCCCAGAGCCCCACCCCCCTGACTCAGGCGCTTCCGCAGCCCCCCTCCCACCTGCGGCTGGGGTCTGCCTCTCCGAGGGTTCCCCGCCCAAGGGTCGCTCACCCCCTCTTGTAAGCCGCCAGCTCGCAGTTGAGCGTCTTCAGCCGCGCTCGTAAGCTCCGCTCCGACGCTTTCACCTCTTCGAGCTGCCGGGAAAGAGAGGACAGGGGTGCAGAGGTCTGGGCCGAGTCCCAGGCCTGCGACCTGTCAGCCACCCCCGCCGGCCCCTCACCTCCTTGGCCAGGCGGCGGCATTCCGGGTTGCGACGCGCGGACCCCCGGGCCCCAGCGCCGCGCTCCTGCCGCAGCTCCAGCTCCAGGCCCCGCACCAGCCCGCGCAGCGACTCGGCCTCCTGGCGCGCCGCGCGTCCCGCCAGCGCCTCCTCTCTCGATCGGCCCAGCTGGGCCTCCAGCTCGCGCTTCTCAGACGCCAGTCGAGACACCCTGGGGAGGAGAAGAGCGAGCGCTGGGGGGCCGGGGCCAAGGGCATCCCACTGCCCCCGATCATCTCCCCTCTTTCATCTCTTCCATTGAGCCTAGGTATAGGTCACCCCCGTTCATGGCCAAACTGGAGATCCGGCCCTAGCTCCCCTGCAAGATCCGGGGCAGACACACAACCGGGTTAAGGCTCTTGCTCTGCCTGCTGTGGACCCTAATTCAATCCCTAGGAGTGACTCCGAGTGGCTCGTGAGCACTAACGGATGTGGCTCAACTCCTCTGCTGCCCTCCCCACCCCCAACAATAAAATAAAATGCAAAGCCAGTCAGGTGGCTGCCAGCTGTCTGAGAAAATGGCAAACCGAAGGCAGTGCTTATGGAAGAAGACAATGCAGCAGCCCAGAACTTGTAAGTTATAAACCAATGCTACCTCAGTAAAATCTATTTTTCAAAAGTACAATGTGCACACAAGGTTATACACTGCAGCACAATTTGTAATATCCAAAGGGTGAACTTCTTTCAAACGCTCCCGCAGTGGGCACAGAACAGTAGGGAAGGCGCTTGCTTTGCATGTGGCTGACCCAGGTTCAATTCCCAGCACCTTATAGGGTCCACTGAAAACCCCCCGCCAGGAGTTAAGTCCTGAACAGCACTCAGCGGGACCTCCGCTCAAAGCCTTTATAAGGCAAGAACAGGGCTCGGGAAACTGCTCAAAGGGCTGGAAATATGCGCTTTGTATACACGGGCCCTAGGTCTGATCCTTGGCACTGCACTGTCCCCTGCGTATTTCTGGGTCTAGCACCCACCCAAATAAAAATAAAATAACAAAAGCTAAAATGAAAGTGTTCTAACAGGGTTTCAGTGACAAAAGGGCCTGTCTTGCTAAGGCCCGTGAGGCCGTGAATTCAGCCCCTGTCACCGCCCCACAAGCCCAAGCTGATCTCAAGTGTGCAGCTGTTTGTGACCCTGATGCCACAACTGAGTGCGCTCTCCCTGGCACGCCACAGCCAGGCGTGGCATCACGGCAACAGAGGGAAGAGGAGGGGAATGAACTGAAACTGGCCCAGTGGAACAGTACACTGGCTTCAAGTGCTTGCCCTGTGAGTGTGTGGTCACAGGCTCAATGCCCAGGAGTCCCACATGCGCCAGACATCTGCTCCAGCCTCCGCTATTGGAACCTGGAAGCCCTGAGGTCTGGGATCTCCAGCACTGCCTGCAATTTCTGGCGTTATCACAGCCAGGTGTGTGTGTGAGCATCATGAGTGGGGGGGAGGGGCAGCCTTCCCCACCATGAGCTCTACGGCTAAAAAGCCAGGTGAGCACCACGGTTGGGAAGTGTAGCCACCTGGGTGCACCACTGCAGGGACCACCCCCGCTTCGGGAGCACGACCACCCCAGCTTGTGCTTCAACTAAACGTGATCCCTGGGAGCATGTGTGCGAGAACCACATTAAAGTGTGCCTATCTCGGTGAGCACTTGGCGGGTATGTGAGCACCAAAGCTAAACAATGAGGAGTAACACGGCCAGCTTCACACACATCATCGCAGCAAGAAAGGGAAGCAGGAAGGGGAGAGGAAGCAGAATAAATGATTCCCCCAATCTGGGACAGCCTCCTATGTTGCAGATAGTCACTGAAGTGTTTGCAGAGGAGCGAGGGGGTGTGGGGCTTGCCCTTCAGTGGATGCCAAACCAGGTGGGCTGGATGGTTAAGCCCCGATGCTGGGGTGCTGGTCTTTCTCCCAGCTCAGCTTCCCTGATAATGCCTCTTGTAATCTCCTTACTGGGGGGGGGGAGGGGAAGGAGAGGGTATGGCAGAATGCGGGGGCATTGTCGATACGCAGGGATTACTCCCAGCTCTGTGCTCAGGAATTATTTCTGGCAGTGCTTGGGGGACTCTATGGGATGCTACAGATCGAAACTGCCTTGGCCACATGCAAGGCAAAAGCCCTCCCTGCTGTACTATCGATCTGGCCCCCTTGGCAATATCTCCTGTACTTTCTGGCTGCCATGTTCTCCAGGGAGTTTCAACTCTGCCTCCACCCGTTCTCCCTACCCAGCCATGCCTCCGTGCAAAATGCAATCTGGCCTGTCCTCTTTCCCCACCCTTGGGAATGGCTCCACTCAGCCTTCCAACAGTCCTCCCCCAGGGGTTCCAGTCCCAATTCTGCTCTCCTGGCCCTCCTAACCAGCTCGTCAGCGGGAGGAGTACCTCATATCTGTCTCATCCTGCTGAGGATGCTCACTTGGTAGAAGATAGAGCAGGGATCCAGCACGGGATGTCGGAGTCCCTGGGCGACCTGAGATGCTGGGCGGCGGGCGCCACCTCGTGGCTAGTGTAAGACACACCCCCCCTTCCGTCCCTCTCCCTTCTCCACTTTAACCCCAACACTTAGGGTACAATCTAAAGTGAAGATAGAGCCCACAGGGTCCTCCCAGTTAGCCTGAGCTGGGGGCGACCAACAGTGTGACAAGCAGGGGAGGTATGGGGGCTCGGCACTGCACGACTCCTGCAACTTCTCTCTTCTGGGCTCCCCAACTCCTGAGCCCTCGCTCAGATATTGCCAAGGGGGCTGGAGCGATAGTACAGCAGGTAGGGCTTTTGCTTTCATGTGGCCGAGGCAGTTTCGAGAGTCCTGTCTCTCCCTGTGCACGGGGCCGGGGCTGTCTTGGTTGCTGCTGTGTCCCCAGCACAAAGCAGGCTCAGAGAAGAATCCCAAAGAAATAAAGGATGCCGGGTCCCCAGCAGCGCGGAGCCGCGGCCCTGGGGTGCATGCTGGGAAATGCCCCTGTCCGCCCTCCAGCCCCTCAAAACTTACTGCTCTCGGAGGTGCCAGATCTCCGTCTCACGGCTGTCCCGAGTGTCCTGGCCGTCCTGCCCTCGGAGGCGGCCTAGTTCCTCCTTGAGGGAGCGGATAACGCCCTGCAGGACCACTGGGTCGGGCTTGCCCTGGTACGGGAGGGGCAGCGGGTAGTGAATCCTGGGGAGGGTTAGAACCGCGGCGTCTCAGAGGCCAGAGTCCACCCGGAGGCCATGGCCACCTTCTGGCCACTGTAGTCCTCCTGTGACTTAGGGTTCAGGTTCTAGGGCAGCTTTGAGTGAGCTCCTGGGCCCCGGGCCCCAGACCCCCTGCTTCATTCCCTCAGGGGTGGGGTCGCTAGTCTCCCAATAGCTGCACCTCCCAAACTCAGACTCTCAGGGGCCTGACCTGGATCACCTCTGGGCTGAGAAAAAGTAGGGCACCATGATGAGCTGCCCTACATGATACTATTCATAGAGGATGGATCGGAAAATTCAGTAGCAATGCACAGATGGGGAAGACGCCATCTCCCTGATGCCAGACAGCCATTTCCATCTCCTCCCTGGCAGCAACCCCCATTACAGGTTCACAAGCCAGCGTAGCTAGCCTCTGGCCTGTGATCATGGGAAACGGGGCTAGGGGTCTCCTGGGACTAGTTCTGCTTTCCCGATCGAATGGGGAGCCACCATGGGCAAGCACAGTCCTGCCCCTATTCTTGTTTGGATTCAGATGCAATGCTTGGAAGCCTGCAGTCATATCGTGACCAAGAAGTCATAAGGATGAAGCCAAATGGTCAGCACTTTAGGATGACCAAAGGGGGGGGTGGGGAAACCAGAAGCATCTCTGATGGAACACATACGGAAACTGAGGATTCCCAGGGCAAGCCCTCATACTCTCCCCACCGGGGGACCAACCACTTTCTCTTCCCTCTGCCCACCTCTCAGGCTCAGAAGCCAGCCTTAGGGCCCCACCTGTCAAACTCCACAGAATAGATGAGGATCAGGTAGCGTTTGGAGTTGAGCTGGGATGACCTGGAGGGCAAGGGGCCCGCTCGGCTCCCCATCTTCCGGTTCCGCAAGGACTCCAGGTCCGTGTAGGTCAGCAGGTCGAGGGTGACTGATTCGCTACTCTGTTGGGAGATGAGGGGAAGAACTGCCTGGAGACACAACTGGGACAGGAGATGGAGCCACAGGATAGTGGGGAGGGCGCTGCCTTGCACTGGCAGACCCACATCCCATCCCCGGCACCACATATGGTCCCACCCCCAGGAGTGATTCCTGAGCGCAGAGCCAGGAATAAGCCCTGAGCATAGCCAGGTATGACACCTTCCCCCAAAGACAAACTGTGCACTGTAGCACTGTCCTCCTGTTGTTCATCTATTTGTTCGAGCGGGCACCAGTAACATCTCACAACAAATTGTGAGACTCGTTGTTACTGCTTTTGGCATATCGAACACATCACAGGGAGCTTGCCAGGCTTTGCTGTGTGGATGCTTTGCTCTTGGTAGCTTGCCAGACTCTCCAAGAGGGGCGGAGGAATCGAACTAGGGTCGGCCATGTGCAAGGCAAACGCCTTACCCACTGTGCTATCACTCCAGCCCCAAAAGACAAACAAACAAACAAAAATAACCCAAAGTCAAAGTGAGACTCATGGAAAAGTTGAACTTAGACCTGCCACTAAAGTTTCTGAAAGTCCCAGCCTTTCCCTGAGACACTGACATAATAAGGACGTTAAAAAAAAACAGATCTTAGGAGTGCCAACATTTTCAGGACTCCACCCCTCTGAGAGTGGGAATTCCCACTTGGCTGATGCACACAGATAACAAAAAGCCACACTGATACAAAAATGGGTGAAAGGTAAAGATCCACAAGACACAAGATCTAGCTTTGGTGCCTTCTGATTCTACACTGTAGCAGAGCAGCTACTGGGAGGCCTCCCCTTCTGTCTAGCCTCGCAGTGTGGGGTGAAGAGGATTTTCCATCTCAGCACCTGATGCAGAGGTGCCTGTGAGAATCCACTGGATTCTGCTGGAGTCAGATAAGACACAGATTTGCAAATATGTAAAACAACAGGATGTCTCTTCCTTTAGTTTTAGAAAAACATATTACTCATGAAAGGAATACTTAGATAATCAAGAACAAGTTTATGCCTGCTATTATTAGGTTTTAGATTTTTGGGATTTTTTTTTGGTTGTTTTTTCTGTTTGGTTTGGGGGCCACACCCAGCGGTGCTCAGGGCTTACTCCTGCTCTGTGCTCAGGGATCACTTCTGATGGGACCTGGGGACCTTATGTGGTACCAGAGACTAAACCCATGTTTGCTGCATGCAAAGCAAGCACCCTATCCACTGTGCTACTGCTCCAGTCCTACTGTAAATTTTTTTTTTTTTTGCTTTTTGGGTCACACCTGGCGATGCACAGGGGTTATTCCTGGCTCATGCACCCAGGAATTACTCCTGGTGGTGCTCAGGGTACCATATGGGATGCTGAGAACTGAACCCAGGTCAGCCGTGTGCAAGGCAAACACCCTACCCGCTGTGCTATCGCTCCAGCCCCCCTGCTGTAATTTTAAATGAGTTCATAAGTATTTAAAAACTTTTGTTTTAATATAGATCATAGCCAACAATAATAGCACTGGCAAAATAAAAGCTCTTTGAACTCCTCAACAACTTTTTTGTTTGGGTTTTTGTTTTTGTTTATTTTTTGGGGGGGCACACCTGTCAGTGCTCAGGAGTTATTTCTGGTTCTGCATTCAGCAGTCACTCCTGGAGGTTCTTGAGGGACCAAATGGAATGCCAGGGATCAAACCCAGGTCAGCTACCTGCATGCAAGGCAAGCACTCTACCTGCTGTACTACTGCTTTGGCCCTGAGTGTTGAATAATTTTTTTTCTTTTTGGGTCACACCTGGTGATGCACAGGTGTTACTCCTGGCTCATGCACTCAGGAATCGCTCCTGGTGGTGCTTGAGGGACCATATGGGATGCTGGGAATTGAACCCGAGTCGGCCGCATGCAAGGCAAACGCCCTACCCACTATCCTATCACTCCAGCCCCTCTTGAGTAATTTTTAAGAGCATCACGGAGTTGCCAAATAAAAAGTTTGGGAAGCACTGAGTTCAAGATATAAATCATGGGGGCCAAAGTGACAGTACAAGGGTTAAAGGTACAGATGAGTGCAGCCTAGAGGTCCCCAACACAACGGGGGTGACCCAGATCATTCCCTAACATCACGGAACCCAAGCAGCACTTCATCCTAGGGCCCTTGAACTGTTGGTCCAATTAGCCAGAAATCACTGGGAGAAAAGCCCAGGCCCCAATGAGCTGGAAGGTCCCAAACAATGGATTAAATAGTGCAGCACATGTACAATGGAATATTAGGCAACCACTAACAAAGACACGTATATACAGTGGAATACTAGGCAACCACTAATGAAGACAACAAACTCAAAAGCCCAGCTCTTTTGTTTTGTTTGTTACTTTTTGGTTTTTTGGTCCCACTCAGTGATATTCAGAGCCAACACCTAACTTTGTATTCAGGAATCACTCCTGACAGGGCTCAGGGGACTCTATGGGATGCCAGGGATCGAATTTAGGTCAGCCACATGCAAGGAAAAGTGCTCTACCTGTTGTACTATTTCTCCAGCCCCACAAATGTCCAGCTTTTAATTAATAAAATAAATAAATAAATAAATAAATAAGCCTTACAGAAGTTACTAGAAGGCAGTTTCTGTACGCTTTCCACAAACCACTCACCTCCTCTTCCGTAACACTATGAAATGGGGCCCACTATAGTCTCTACATCACGAACAGAGAAACTAAGGCAGGGAGGGCAGTAACAGGCCCCAGGGCTCTTGGCCATTATGCCGTAGTGCTTATAGATGGTCAAGTGTTAACAGACTTGGGTAGAGAATAGAAAGGGGATAATGGTGTGGCTCAGAGCTGGAGCATTTGCCTTTTATGTCTGAGGTCAAGAGTTTGATCTTTGATACCACCAAAAAAAGGGGGAAGGGATATGAGTTATTTTGTGGGGTAGGGGACACCTATGTAATGCTCAGGGAACCCAGGGGGCCACTCAAGGTGATACTCTGCTAATCTGGCTATACAGTTCAATGGTTAGACCCTGCAATGCAGTGCTGTTTGAGCCCACTGGTGCTGGGGACCCTGCCAGGGTCACACCTGGCAGTGATGGGTCAGACAGAGTTGGGGATCAAACTCAGGGCCTCAAGCATGCCAGGATATCTCCCCAACTCAGAGTCTCATTTTCTTTTTTTTTTTTTTTTGCTTTTTGGGTCACACCTGGTGATGCATAGGCGTTACTCCTGGCTCTGCACTCAGGAATCAGCCCTGGCAGTGCTCAGGGAACCATATGGGATATAGGGAATCAAACCCAGGTCGGTTGCGCGCAAGGCAAAGTGTTCTATCAGGCAAGTGTTCTATCACTCTAGCCCCTCAGAGTCTCATTTTCTACATCGCACGAGTTTGTTTTTGTTTTGTTTTGGCTTTTGGGCCACACCTTGAGGTGCTCAGGGCTTACTACTGACTGGCTTGGGGGTGCTGTAGGGGGTGCCGGAAATGAACCCAGGATGGCCGTGTGCAAGCCAAGCACCCTCCCTGCTGTATCATCCTGATCTCACTGATACACCTGCTGTGTATCACCAGAAAGGCACTAGAGCTCAGAGTTTCTAAATGATGTCTGTATCTATATTGTATCCCCAGGACCAGGAAGGTGACTCCAAAAAAGCTAGAGCACAGGTCTGGCATGTGGAAAAACAGGGTTCAATCCCTGGTACCGCATGATTCCCCAAGCACTGCCAGGAAGGACCCCCAAACACCATGTTGGGAGGAGGTCCTAAGCATTCAGTGGCCCAAGATCAACAAATAAACCCAAAAGACAAAAGCATCTTTAAATAAGCAATAGGACAGGGAACTGTCTGATCCACTGTTCACACCGGTGGCAGCCACACCACTGACATGCAGTAAACGACAAAGCAGTCAATCCTTCACATGACAGCATTTTTTTTCTTTTGCTTTTGGGGTCACACCCTGAGATGCACAGGGGTTACTCCTGGTTCATGCACTCAGGAATTACTCCTGGCCATGCTTGGGGGACCATATGGGATGCTGGGAATCGAACCCGGGTTGGGCCGCATGTAAGGCAAACGCCCTACCCGCTGTGCTATCACTCCAGCCCCTCATGACAGCATTTTCTTAAAATACTGTTACATCTTTTTGGGGGGGGGGGGGGTGGGCTCCTGGCTTTGAACTCAGAGATCACCCCTGGTGAACTAGGAGGACCATATAGGGTGCTGGGGATTGAACCTGGGTTGGCCATGTGCAAGGCAAGTATCCTATCCATTGTATTATCCCTCTGGCTCTGTCGCATGTTTTAAAGGCAGGTTATAGGATGTCGGAGGGCAGATATTAACTATATAAAATTGCAAAACACACACACACGTGCACATGGTTCAAACAAATAAATGGAGAAATGCTGGGTTAATTTTTCACCCAGATACAAAAAAATATTACCAGGTGTGAAGATGAGGCGTGATTTTTACTTTTCTCTGGCCTCTTGAATTGCCTGAGCAGAATGATCATATAAATGAGAATATGCCTTTTACTTTGACTTGATTTTTGGGGGGGGAGGGGGAGGTGGAGGGGGGGAATATGTGCCACACCCCAAAGGGGCTCAGGGACTATTTCAGGAGTGAACCCTGGCAGGGTTCAGGGGACCAGATGTATGCAGGGCCAGCAATTGGGTGCATGCAAAAAATGGACTGACCCTTGTTCTATTTCTCTCTGCCCCAAAGCCTTTACATTGGGAAAATCAGAAAAGAAACGGGGGTGACCCTGAGCCATCCATGATTGAGAAAGTAGGGGTCAGGCTGGTTTTAGGTGGGCATCTACCCCCACAGCAGGAACCCAGCAGGCCAACTCCCCCAGCCCCAGCAGGGGCACCTACCTGGGTGAGGGCCGACTCCAGCATGTTGCAGAAGATGTTGAACTGTTTGAAGTTCCCTGTCTTGTGCGTCAGATCCTCGATGACTGAGTAGGGAGAGGCGGCCTTGAGGGGGGTGGCTCCCCACAGCTTGTCAGATCCCACCCCCACATCAGAGAGCTTCCAGCTAGGTAGAAGAGGCAGGTCGGGAACCGGAGTGATGGACAGCAGGGAGAGCGCTGGCCTTGCCCATGGCTGAGGCGGGTTCAATCCCCGGCATCCCACAGGGTCCCCTCCCTGAGCCCCATCAGGATTGATCCCTGAGCAAGGAAACAGGAGTAATCCCTGAGCACCACTGGGTGTGACCCCAAAACAGAAACAAAAAAAAGCAGGGGCAGGTGGGCAAGATCTCAGGGAGGGGAGTGCCCTGGGAGGTATACTCACAGTTGGCGTCAAACTGTCCCCGCCACTGGTCAGCTGTCATACGGTCCTCCACCTCCAGCTCCAGCACCTGGCCGGAAACGCCCACACGCACGGCATGCTCTACGCCCCGGAACACATAGTCCACCTGCAGGCTGGCCGGCTGCTCCATGGCCAGTATCGCTGTGGGGGGCAGGGGGCCACAGAGAGCCCTTGAGGTTGACAGCTCAGGCTGGACACTGGAAAGCCAAAACTCAGTGCCTGGTGCCCATACTTACCAGCGGTGGCCCCTTCGGGAAGAAACGCCACTTCTCTGGGCCTCCGCCTCTTCTTCTTCGGGAAAATGGCTATAACAATGGCACCAATGTGACTGGTGCTTGTCACCAAAAATCAATTGGACACTATACTTAAAAGAACTTGGAGATGTGTGGGGGGGGGGGAGGGGGGCTGGAGTTGTAGCAATGCCAGAGGGACCCTATGTGGCACCACGGATTGAATCAGGGTCAGCTACATGCAAAGCAAGTAAGTGCCTTCATCTCTGTACTATTTCCCCAACCTCACCACTAGTGTTCTGTTTGTTTTGGAGCCACACCTGAGGGTAATTAGGGATCACTCTTGGCTCTGTTCGGTGACCACTCCTGGTGGGGCTCAGGGGACCATACGGGATGCCAGAATCAAACCCCGATTAGCGGTGTACAAGCCAAGTGCCCTACAGTTATAGTATCTCTCCAGGGCTCTGGCCCCCATTTCTGTTTAAATCAATCATTCAGAGGCTGGGGAGATGGCTCAAAGGATTAAAGGAGCAGGGGCCTGAGCTTGAACCCCCAGCACTGCATGGTTCCCGAGTCCCCCTGGGAGTAATTCCCAGGCACTACTAGGTGTGACCCCTCCAAGTAAAAACACTCAGAACTGTGTCCTGCGCGATACTATGTGTGGAACATGATACTGGAATATGTCATCACTAGCCAGAGCATCCTGATGGTGTTACAGGAAACTTTTATTTATTTTTATTTTTGGGTCACACCTGGCAATGCTCAGGGGTTACTACTCCTGGCTCTGCACTCAAGAACTACTCCTGGCGGTGGTTGGGGGACTGTATGGGATGCCGGGAGATCGAACCCAGGTTGGCCACGTACAAGGCAAATGCCCCACCCTCTATACTATCGCTCTGGCCCTGTTATGGATAACTTAGGGATCCTCAGGCTTCTGATGTGTATTTTGGCATGGGAAGAGGTTTGGGCCATACCTAGTGGTACTCATGTTCTATTTCTGGCTCTGTACTCCGGGATCACTCTTGGCCATGCCTAAGAGACCATACACAGTGCCAGGGATCGAACCTGGGTCTGGCACATGCAAGGTAAGCGCCTTAATCTCTGAACCATCTCTCCAGCCCCTTTAGTTATTATTTGTACATTCACTCAGCAAATATTTATGGAGGGGGAGAAACTATGGTAGGAGGCTTAATTAAGGTCAGGAGAGGTAGAGGTTTTATCTTTATTATTATTTTATTTATCTGTTTTGGGGCCACACCTGGCAGTGTTTGGGGCTTACTCCTGACTCTGTGCTCAGGGATCACTCCTAGCGGGCTCGGGGGACCACATTGGATGGCGGGAATCAAACCTGGGTTGGCAGTGTGCAAGGTGAATGTCCTACCCACTGTGCTACTGCTCTAGACCTGGGGGCAGGGACTGAGCAGCAGGACAGGCAGCCCTCTCTCAGAAGCTGCAGTGAGATAGGCTCCCTGGGAAGACAGTTACTGTGTGATCAGTGAATCTCCTGCATCATTCAGGCTGAGTTAATAACAGTCCATCAGGACCCACCTCAGCCAACAGAGTGAGATCTTTAAGTTCAGAGGAATGGAAGAAGGAGAGGACCTCTTCCCTCGGTCTGGATTCTAGGGGGCGTCCAGAATGGGCATCCCGGCTGCCCGGGTTCAGATCCAGGTGATGTTCTGCACACAGAAACCCAGCTATTTTTGTCTCTCTCGGAACCAGATTCCTTGTCTTTTTGGGCCACACACCTGGCGATGCTCAGGGTTCTGTGCTCAGGAACTCCTGGAGGTGCTCAGGGGACCATACGGGATGCTGGTGACAGATCCTGGATTGTCTTCCTGCAAGGCAAATGCCTTTCCCTGCTGTACTATCACTCTGGTCCCCAGATTCTTTGTCTACAAAGCATGTGCCATCCTGTTCGCTGGGGACAGGATACACCCCTCCTCTCAAGTGGAACAGTTTGGTACCCACATGTCAAGGAGGGCCCAGGGGATAGCTGAGTGATTGCCTTGCATATGTGAGGCCTCAAGTTCAACACTCAGTGCCACCTACATGCACCAAGCCCAGTTCCTGTAGCTCAGCCTAGAGCCCCCTGTGCCACAAAGAGGATGGCCCCCAACATGCAGCAGGTGTATAAGGGCTCTGACAGGAGGGCACCTCCCCAGGCAAGCAGCACAACTACACATGTACAATGGGGCCAGCATGAGAGGCATGAGAGCACCGTGGGGAGGGCACTTGTCTTGCACATGGCCAACCAGGTTCTATCCCTGACATCCCACAGGGTCCCCTGAACCCACCAGTACAGAGCCAAGAGTAACCTCTGAACATTGCCAGGTATGTCCTCCCCCCCAAAAAAAATTAGCAGGAGTGACCCGCCGCGTCCCCTGAGCATTGCTTGGGAGACCCAAAGATGAATAAACAAGCCTACAAACAGGGCCCAGAGAGATAGTGCAAGGGTTAAGGTGCTTGCCTTACAGATAGCTGACCCCTGATCAACACTGGGAGCGACTTCGAAGCACAGAGCTGGGAAAAGCACCAGAGCACCAAAGCAACCTCTAAAAAGAACAATCTAAGAAGTCCTCTGAGCATCAGAGAAACAAGCAGGTGCATTGCCTAAGGAATTCCTTTCTTGTTTCTCTTTTCTTTGCATTGCTCAGAGCTCACTCCTGGCTCTGCACTCAGGATCCCTCCTGGTAGGGCTCAGGGGATGACAGAAATCAAACCACAGTTGGCCAGGTACAACACAAGCGCCCTCCCCGCTGTGCTATTGGTCTGACCCCAGTTAAAATAATTTCTGGGGTTCCCAGAATACCACCCCCAGACCAGGCCACTGAACTGCCCGCCTGAGCTCCAGTCATCCTGTCAAGTCCCTCTCAGTCTCAAAACCTAAACTCTGAACTTTAGGGAGTGACAATACAACAAGGAGGGCGTTTAGCGCTTGCACATGGCCAACTGGGGTTCAATCCTCAGCATCCCATAGGGTCCCCTGAGCACTGTCAAGAGTAATTCCTGAGTGCAGAGCCAAGAGTAACCCAGGAGCATCGCCTGGTGGGACCCAAAGTAATAATAATAATTAATAATAATGAAAGAAAAGAAAGAACCCAAAAACAAACAAAAAAAAAAACTCAACTTTATTTGTGGGGGTGGTCTCCATCCTTGGGAAGGACAGATGAAGTCAGGGGAGCCCTTCCAGGGGAAGCCCTACGACTGAGCCTTCGTTCTCTGGAGACTGAGCCTTCATTCTCTGGGAACCCCGAGACCGGGCTTCACAATAACCAAGCAGTGGGCAAACAAATCACTACACATTTCCATGCATCCGCAGCTCTGGGTGCCAGGCAGCGCAGGCCCCGCCCCCTGGAGGCCCAAGCCCTGCCCCGAAGACACCTCGAGCCAATCAGCGCTGCACAGTCCCGGTTACCGAGGCTGCAAGGACGCAGTTCGCGGTTCGTTTCAGGCGGCTTCATCACTACCCCCACGTTGTTGCAAGCGCGCCCCATTCTCAGGAGGAGACAGAGGAATAAGGGGATCCCACTACCGACCCGGCCCTGTCCCCCCTCCTAGTCCCCATTCAGACCTTCGGTAATAGCGCTAATAGGTGCTATCAGCCTCCCGCGGCCCCCAGATACTGAGTACTGAACTCACCGCTCCCTTTACACACCCTCCCGCAATCCACACACTTCGCCTGCTCCCAGCCACTCGCCTTTGCTCCCACACCAGCCCCTCAAGTTCTCCCCATCGTCCACCAGAGTTTTGGGCTTGAACTCTGCCTTCTGCCTGCATATTCACACCGCATTTTCAGCTTCTAGGCTAGCACCCCCTTCCGCCTACCACACCTGGTAGTCACTGTCACTGTCACTGTCCTCCCGTTGTTTATCGATTTTCTTGAGCGGGCCCAGTCAAGTCTCCATCGTGAGACTTTGTTGTTACTGTGTTTGGCATATCGAATATGTCACGGGTAGTATCCTCTCAAATTAGAAGTCCCTAAGCCCGGGACCCTCGACATTATATTTTCTTTCTTTCTTTCTTTTTTTTGGGGGGGGGGTCACACCAGGCAATACACAGATGTTACTCCTAGCTTTGCACTCAGGAATTACTCCTGGCATTGCTCAGGGGACCATATGGGATGCTGGGAATCGAACCCGGGTCAGTCGTGTGCAAAGGCAAAAGCCCTATCCGCTGTGCTATCACTCCAGGCCCCTCGACATATTCTTTCAACCCAAAGGGAAAAAACGTTCCTTGGGCCCCGCTTCCCCAAGTCCGGGGTTCCCGGAACTAATTACCTCCCCACCCCTACGCACATCAGCTCCCACTGGCCCATTCAGTCCTGCTACCTGCATCCTCCACCATGTTCTGTGACAGACCAGCTAGCCAACCTGCCATGGTGGTTTAGGGGCCCTGCCCCTGACAGCCCACCCCTTGAGACCCGAGTGCTCCCCACCCTCTGTACACCTGACTCCACCCTCTGACCTCAATCTCCACAGCACTGCCTCATTTTTCACCAAGGTGACCTCCTCCTCATCTCTGGGGTACCATCACTGCCCCCCAAAAACTACAGACCCCAGAAATGGCAGAGTTCACAGCCCTTTCCCTAAAGACAGAGCTGAGTCTCCTGCCTTGGTGGGAGGGTCCCCAAATACAAATACACATCATCATCTCCCCCTTGAGGGTACAATCTGCATACACACACACCGAAGTCCCCACCATTTTGGTGAGCAGCGTCCCACACACATATTCCAGCCCATCCATAAACCTCCTGGATTCTCCCCAGTGCGCAAACAGCCCCCTATATACAAATACAAATTGCCTGAGCCAAAACGATGCATCCTTGACCCTATTTTTATCACACCATCTGTACCATGTAAGGAAACTAGAGTCGGACAGAATCCCCCAGCCTTGGCTGTGCAGACCACAGGATAGTCAATATCACTATCACCCCGTTGTTCATCGATTTGCTCGAGTGGGCACCAGTAACGTCTCCATCTGTCCCTGTCACGTGCTAGTGTAGCCCGATGGCATATTGGGGGCTCTTTCAGGGTCAGGGGAATGAGGACCATTATTGTTACTATTTTTGGCACTTTGAGTATACCACAGGTAGCTTGCCAGGCTCTCCGAGAGGGAGGGAGGCTATTGGGGCAGCCTCTAATCACCTTTACAGGTGTTCCCAGTCAGGCATATATGCGGGCAGGATACTCTCAGTAGCCTGCCAGGTTCTCTGAGAGTGAGATTTAATGAATTAAGAGGTCACGCAGCCACAAATGCAACCGCACACTTTGGGGAGGTTGGTTTTATAGTCTCTGGATCCTGGCCGTTGATGGAGTTAGATGGCAGTTGGTGGGTGTAACTGTCTAGCTACTGGAAGATGGGGGATCTGGGTGGAGGAGGCCCAGTCCCAAACCGAGCAGGCTTGGCGGACTCAGCCCCAGGTCCCTCACACCTGGGTTCCTCTGCCGGTTCCTTCATGGGTGAGGCTCATCCAAGCATGTGGAGTCGTCTCAGCATGGCTGTGGCTGGGTCCCAGAGGTCTTCAGCTGCCAGGGCTCTGCTCGGGGCGGAGAAGGAAACTCAACCCACCCTACTCCAAGGGGCCCTGGTGAGGACAGCCAGGCATGGGGGCAGGAGACTCTGCCCCAGAATAGTAAACACATCAAAACCCTTTAGGTCAAAGGGAAGGCAAATGCACTACCCACTGTACCATCTCTTTGGCCCTCAAAAGCTTTTTGCCTCAGATATAAGCTGGCACACCATTAGGTAGGCAGAACCATGTCCCATTTTACAGACAACTACACAGGGTCACCCTGGAACCAACCATCTCCCCAACTCAGTACCCACTGCCCTTCCCTGCCCTCCTTCTAGCCCCCTAGAAAACTCTATGCCTGTCCCTCCAGTGCCAATCAAGTGGGGTCTCATGCCTTCAACATGGAACTTGCTGAAAGCTGGAGACACGGGGGCTGGAGCAATAGCACAGCAGGTAGGGCGTTTGCCTTGCACGCGGCCGGCCTGGGTTCGATTCCCAGCATCCCATAAGGTCCTCTGAGCACCACCAGGAGTAATTCCTGAGTGCAGAGCCAGGAGTAACCCCTATGCATTGCTGGGTGTGACGCCCCCACCCCCCCAAAAAAAAGCTGGAGACACGGAGATTCAGGTGCTGGAATAGCAAGAAATGGGGTCCTAGACAAGGGAGCAAGGTTCCCCCCCCCACATACCAGCTCACTCCTAATCATTTTCCAATGTCTGCTCCAACGCCCCCTCCTTTAGGAAGTCCTCCCTGACTCACAAGATGGGGGAAAGGTCTGTTTCTATTACCAGTGATGCCAGCACTGACCAACAGAGTTTAGTGATCGAGCTCCGGCTCAGCTCTGAAGCAGCCTGGGGCCTCAGACCTTCAGCAAAGCCTGCCTGGGTGCTCAAAGAAAATGCAGAATCCTGGGTGTCACCCCATTTACCAAGGAGGAACTCTGGGGCATGGTCCAAAAATCTCCATTTCCTAGATGCGACCCTCCCCCATTAACCCTCATGAAGACAATGTTCATGAGAAACGGACTAGTTCCTGGCGTTCCATTTGCCCTCGACAGAACAAATGTCCCCAAATGCAGCTGTTATGTGTTCCTAGGTCGAGAACTCAACATGACAAACGACCTGGCATCTGAACTCTGCAGAAGGAAGAGAGCGGCGTGGAATGCCTTTAAGAGTGTCGAAGAAGTGGTTAAGAGGACAAAGAACCTCCAACTTCGGGCACATCTTTTCGACTCCACTGTTCTTCCTGCACTAACATATGCCTCAGAGACCTGGGCTCTACGAAAACAGGATGAGAATGCTATTCGGATCTCTCAAAGAGGAATCGAAAGAGCTATGCTTGGAATATCATGTTTCACTCAAGTGGGAGATGGAATCCAGAGTACCGATCTCCGTCAATGATCAAGAATCAGGATGCTGCCTCGTTTGCCAAGGCATCGAAAATCAGATGGGCCGGACATGTAATGTGATTTAGAGATGACCACTGGACTAGAGCTGTTACGGACTGGACTCCACAGGACGTCAAAAGAACGTGTGGCCACCCATCTACAAGATGATCAGACTTCTTCGTCAAAACCCCGAACAAACGGTTTGAGGCTCTTTGTGTTCCTGAAGCGAGCAGACCCCATTGGGCAACACTAGCACGTGACAGGGATGAATGGAGACGTTACTGGCACCTGCTCGAGCAAATCGATGATCAACAGGATGATACAAGTGACAGAAGTGGCCCTCCGCCACCCTCAAACAAGACTGTACGGCTTTTGCCCTTGGCATCATGATTTGCCCAGATTTTAAACATTTCATTTTGGGCCACACCCGGCGGTGCTTAGGGCTTCTGCCTGGCTCTGCATTCAGGGATCACTCCTGGCCATGCTTGTGTAACCATCTGAGGTGTTGGGAATTGAACCCGATTCAGCCACATGCAAGGTAAGCGCCCTATCTGGTATATGTTCTCCAGCCCTGTGCCCGGTTTATTACCTATCCTGATCCCCACACCAACTCAAGTCCCTCCCAACACAGCTCAACAACCTTGAGAGCCCCCAAGAAACAGACCCCGTGAGTGTAGTAGAATACCTCGCTTTTTTTAATTTTTTTTTTTTGGGGGGTTACAACTGGGCTGGAGCGATAGCTGCCCTGAGTTCGATTCCTCCGCCCCTCTCGGAGAGCCCGGCAAGCTACCGAGAGTATTCGATATGCCAGACACAGTAACAACAAAGTCTCCAATAGAGACGTTACTGGGCCTGCTCGAGCAAATCGATGATCAACGGGAGGGCCTTTATTATTATTTTATTATTACAACTGGGTTACTCCTGTTGGTGCTCAAGAGACCATATGGGATGTCAGGGGTCGAACCCAGGATGGCCAGTTGCAGAGCAAATGCAGTCCCTGATGTACTATCACTCCTGCCCAGAAGTAATGCCCTTTAAGTGCCACTGGGGCATGCTGAAGCTGCACCTCCTGCCCACATAGAGCCAGCACCAGTGCCAATTTCGAGATACAGTGAATGCAAACACTGTGGACCCAGGTGGAGAGGACCAGCTGGGGTGGTCAGCTGGGGCCTATCCATCCGTGAATGGACTATTGTTGTTTTCACTATCACACCCAGTGGGGTACAGGAGCTGCTGTGTGCTTGCTCCCAGTGCTGGGGAATGAACCAAGACCAACTGCTTACAAGGCAAGTGCCCTCCCCATGCTATATTCTATATCTTAAACTCTGGAACAGACATTTGAACCGGAGACCTGAAGAAAACACTCCATGGGGGACAAAGAGGGGGAACATTCCAGAGAGAACACGGTACAAAGACAGGGGTATGAATGGATGAGCGCACAGTGGTAGAAGCAGATGGAGCTGATACTAGAGGTAAGGAGAGCAAAAGGAATGCCCTGCCACAGAGGTGAGGTGGGGGGTTGGAGTCGGGGGAGGGTTACTGGGATCATTGGTGGTTTAGAATGGGTACTGGTGGAGGGATGGGTGCTCTATAATTGTATAACTGAAACCCAAGCACGAAAGTTTGTAAGTCTACAACTGTACCCCATGGTGTTTCACTAATAAAAATTAAATTAAAAAAAAAAAAGAACAGGTGCTGACTTGGACACGACAGCGAGGGAGGGAGGCACAAAACATGAGGTGGCAGAATCCTGGATGCATTCTGAGTGAGAAGCCCACAAGCCATGCCCGTGGACATAGGTCCATGAGAAAAGATAGGGAGGTGAAGAAAACCAGGCCAATGTTCCCATGCAGCACGCTGCCCCGCAGACAGGGGAAGCCCAAGACTGGTTTGAAAAGAGCTGAAGAGGAGCTGGAGCGGTAGCACAGCGGGTAGGGCGCTTGCTTTGCACGTGGTGGACCAGGGTTCGATTCCCAGTATCCCATATGGTCCCCCCAGCCCCGCCAGGAGTAATTCCTGAGTGCATGAGCCAGGAGTAACCCCTGTGCATCGCAGGATGTGACCCAAAAAGCAAAAGAAAAGAAAAGAGCTGAAGTGAGTGGGGTGTGGGGGTTTCCATGGAGAGAAGGCATTGGCCACTGGCTAGAGGGTCTTGGAGTCCAGTAGGGATGTATATAGAAGACAAGCTTGATCCCCCAAAAACGGCCCGGAAGCCAAGCGATGGGGTGATCCCTGAGCTGCATCCAGAGAAGAGAAGAGGGGCGCCCTCTCTCCAAAATGAACTGATATGAGATCCAGACTTAAAGGTCTCCTGCACCATCCCTTGCGCCATTAGGAAACCGGAGGGTGTTAAATCGCATCCAACACCTGGTGGGCGCCTATGCCTTCGCCCCGCATTAACGCACCCTCCATCCTCCCTCATCCTCCCCTGCTTCACCTACGCTGCCCCCAATCAAAGCTTGCAACTCACCGCAAGGACCCTCGCCCCAATACACTGCGTTTGGAAGCAACTCTGCCTTAAAACGCCCCCATTCCATCGCCAGCCTTATTACCAGAGCACATCTACATTGAGCCCAATGTGCCATCCGCTGTCTCTTCCTTTACTTTCAAATACAAAACGCAGCCCCCGACACCACAATGCCGCGCTCTGCCCCTCCGCTCCTCTTTAACGCGTCTACCCGTATTACAGGGCTACCCCCTTACTGATCCCGCAACAGCCGGGTCAGCTGCCCTCCGCAGCCCACCCTACTCGGGTGCACCCCCTCCCCCAAGGTCCGCCACCTCCGCCCGCGCACCCGCCGCTCTCGCAGCTTCTCACCGTCTCGACAGACACCCCTCCTCGTGAGCGGTTCAACTGCCGAAGCTCCAGCCCCGCCCCAGGATCCGGCCTTCTCCCTTATGATTGGTCCTTACTGACTCCCGTCCACATTTCTACTGGCTAATGCAGACGTTCGTCACTCTGTCCCGCCCCGCATTCCGAAATGGGTTGGGCCGACGGTCTCCTCTCCAATCGCTACTGGCTAATCAGTGCTGCCAGTCACCTAGAGGGGGCGGATCCCGGAAGTAATCCTTGACTCCTCCTATCACTCCTGGCGGCTTCCCACGGGAGGGAAGGCGGGGAAAAGAAAGTCGGACGCGCTTGCGCCCTGGAAGATCTTGGCCGCAGACCCGGAAGCTGCAGAGAAGTTCCAGCAGGAAGGTGGCTAAAGATTTGTCGTCAACCTGTGTGTTCCAAACCTGCAGTAAGCACTTTTCCGGTGCTGAACAACCCCAAAATATATGGGCGCGATTCTGATCTTCCTTTTGCCGGTTAGGAAAACGGGCTCAGAGAAGCCGAGCCATGGGGCCAAGATCACACAGCTTGAGAAAAGACTATTTTAAGCCAATGAGTCATTGACTGGGCTTCTACAGTTATTAGAATTTAGTGGAGGAGGAAGAGGAACATTCTTTAAGAAAATGAATACAGGGGCCGGAGAAGTAGTACAGTGGGTAGGGTACTTGCCTTGCGTGCGGGGGACCCAGGTTCGATCCTCGGCACCCCCATAACCTGGCATGAGTGATCTTTGAGGGCAGAGCCAGGAGTAAGCCCTGAGGACTGCAGGGTGTGGCCCAAACACGGTGGGGAGTGAAGAAAAGGAATACACCTCTGACCATACTACCCAGAATGCTGCATACATTTAAAGCTAAATGGGCCTGAGAAGCACTTGGATGGATTAAAAAACTGTCCACATGGGGCTGGAGCGATAGCACATTGGGTAGGACGTTTGCCTGCATGCAGCCGACCCAGGTTCGATTCCCAGCATCCCATATGGTTCCCCGAGCACCGCCAGGGGTAATTCCTGAGTGCATGAGCCAGGAGTAACCCCTGTGCAACATGGGGTGTGACCCAAAAAAAGGAAAAAAAATGTCCACAAATCACAAATTCAAATTTGAGTATGATCATGAGTGTTTATTTCAAATATGAACCAGTAACAAACTACATATTTAAAAGAGCTGACAAATACCATGAACATTGCAAAATCCCCAGATCACGTCATGTTTTTATTAATTTGCTGCCTGACACACCTCTCTGTTGTTTCCTACTTTTTTGGCTACATACACTTGTTTCATAATACCCTTATCTACACAGAAGAAAATGAACTATCTTACCTCTGTCTTGCTTGCCGGACATTTTTGTTTTTGTTACTGTTGTTACATGTGAGCATCTCAAGAGAGTCAGACCCAGGGCCAGAAAGATTGGACAGCAGAGAAGGCACTTGCCTTGCATGCAACCAACCCTGGTTCTATCCCCAGACCTAATATGATCCCAGTTTCATTGCCTGGGGTGATCCCTGAGTGCAGAGCCAGGAATAATCTCTGAGAACAGCCAGGCCAGAAAACAAAACAAAACAAAAAAGTGAAAAATAAAAACAAACAGTTAGACCCCTAATAAGCATGCATGCAAGCACTGCAGCTAGAAACGCAACCAGAGGAGCTGGAGACATAGTACAGCGTGTAGGGAGTTTGCCTTGCATGCAGATGACCCGGGTTCAATTCCTGGCATCCCATATGGTCCTCCAAGCACTGCCAGGAGTAATTCCTGAGCGCAGAGCCAGGAGTAATCCCTGAGCATCACTGGTGTGATCCAAAAAGGAAAAAAAAATTGCAAGCAAAGAACTTAGACTTAGGTCAGAGATGTAGAGCCAGTGGTAGAGTCAATGCTTTGCATACATGATGAGGCCCTGGGTTGGGGCTAACTTGGGTTTTGTAATCAGAAAGACATGAATTTGAATCCCAGCTTTCCTCTTCAAAAGCATAGGACCACTCACAAATCACAAGTTCCTCTTCATCTGTAGATGGAGTTCTTTCCTTTCATTTACTTATTTATGTCTCAAGAATTTTTTGAGCACCTGCTATGTTTAATAAAGTCACTGCTTAGTTTCTTGGGTTTTGCTTTGTTCTGTTTTGGGGCCACACCCAGACATGCTCAGGGGTTCTCTTGGCAGTGCTTGGGGGGGCATATGGGTTGCCAGGGATGAACCTTGGTCAGCCACTGCAAGGCAAACACCCTGCACACTGTACTAATGCTCCAGCCCCACTGCTTAGTTTTAATTTAATTTCATTTTGTGTTTTAGACCATATCAGGGATCACTCCTGGCGGGTCTCAGGTTAGGGTGGGGACCATATGGGATCCCAGGGATAAAGCCCTGGTTAACTGTTCAAGGCAAGTGCCTTCCCATTGTACTATTATTTCGGCCCCAGGGGTCACTCCTTGAAGGGATTGGGGGACCTATGTGGTTTCAGGAATTCAACTGGGGGTGACTATGTGAAAAGAAAGCCCCCTGCCTACTCAACTATCACTCTAAGCCCTGAAATCAGTGTCTAATGAAGGTGGAGTCCCATTGACGGTGATGAAATGTCTTGGAACTCTTTTTGTTTTTTTGTTTTGTTTTGGAGCCACACCCAGCAGTGCTGAAGGGCCATTCTGGGCTCTGGGCTCAAGGGTTGCTTCTGACAGTGCCCAAGGGACGATGCAGTATTGGGGACTGAAACCAGCCCAATGACCCCTATATGTAAACCAAGGGCTCAGCCTGTGAACACTCACTCGGCCCAATATCTTTATTTTGGAGCTGAATAAGATCTTGATGATGCTTTCACAAGACTAAATTTGCTAACCACCTCTGACTTGTATCCTTTTAAAGTGTTTTTTTTTTTTGGTTGGGGGAAGGGTGGAGTGATAATATAGTAGGTAAGGTGTCTGCCTTGCATGCAGCAGACCTGGGCTTGATCCTTGGCATCCCATATGGTTCCCTGAACACTGCCAGGTGTGATTCCTGAGTACAGAGCCAGGAGTCACCTCTGAGCATTGCCAGGTGTGCCCCTCCCGCCTCCCCCCCAAAATTGATTTTTTTTAAATAAAAGGAGTCAGAGGGATAATACAGGGGTTAAGGCACTTGCTTTGCATGCAGATGACGTGGGTTTGGTCCCCTCCAGGAGTGATCCTTGAACATGGAACCAGGAACACTAGCCCAGTGATCAGTAGCCCCTGAGCACTACCAGGTAGCACTACCCCCAAATCCAAAATAAATAAGTAAATTAATTGGTTCCTCTTTAAATATATATTTATTTATTTGCTTTTTGGGTCACACCCGGCGATGCTCAGGGGTTACTCCTGGCTCTGCACTCAGGAATCACTCCTGGCAGTGCTCAGGGGAACCATATGGGATGCTGGGAATCAAACCCGGGTCTGCTGTGTGCAAAGCAAATGCCCTACCCACTGTGCTATTGCTCCAGCCCCATATATTTATTTATTTTTGGTTTGGGGGCCACATCTGCCAATGCTCAGGAGTTACTCCTGGCTCTGCACTCTGGAATCACTTCTGGCAGGCTCAGGGGACCATATGTGGGATGCCAAGGATCGAACCTGGGTTGGCTGTGTGCAAGGAAAGCACTCTGCCCACTGTACTGTTTCTCTGGTCCCTGAAGTGATTCCCTTTATCTGATGTGACTTTTACCTTAAAAAAATTTTTTTTTTTTTGCAATGCTCAGGGGTTACTCCTGGCTCTGCACTCAGGAATTACTTCTGGCGGTTCTTGGGGGACCATATGGGATGCCAGGGATTGAAGTCGAGTCAGCTGAGTGCAAGGCAAACGCCCTACCCACTGTACTATCGCTCCGGCTCCTACCTTAAAATTTTTTTTAAGCTTCTTTGGGGAAAGCAGAGATTCCAATAGCAGTCGTTAGAATGAGGGAGGATGGTAGCAGTATTTAGGGGGGAAGAAGAGGTTGTTCTGTCTCTTCTGAAGGGAGCCTGCAGGCTGCGGGGGACAGGGCCTGGGGAGGGATTGAGAGGGAGAGAAAGTAAACCTAAAGGGTCACAGGGTTTTGTTCTGAGATGAAATTCCCACTGATGAGAGGCTCTGATGAGTGGGGGCAGGAGGGACCAAACTGATAGTCCAGCAGGGAGGGCGTTTGCCTTGCACACAGCTGACTGGGTTCAATCCCCGGCATCCCGGAGGGTCCCCCAAGCACTGCCAGGCGTCATTCCTTAGTGTAGAGACAGGAGGAACCCCTAGGCATCATCGGGTTTGACCCAAAAAAGAAAAAACAAAGTGGAGTAGTGGGAGATGGGTCTCAGGACTTTGAGGACATGCTACAGTTCTTCCCTCCCAAGTGGAAATATTGCCAATCTGAAAACAGAGGTGAGATCCCACTAAGAACAGAAACTGGGGGTGGAGTGGCCCAAGATGTTGTGCAGAGGTAAGGTGCTTGCCTTGCCTTCTGCTGACCCCAGTTTGGATCTCCAGTGCCACATATATTCCCCCCACCACCAGCAGGGGTCACTCCTGAGCAGAGAGACAGGAACCACTCCGTTAGCACAGAGAGGTGTGGGCCGCCACCCCCAATCCCACTAGACTGTCACCAAGGAGTGAGTGAGAAGAAAAGAAAAGGGAAGCAAAGATTGAGTCCCAGAATCCTTCAATATTAAAACACCCACTAAGAGGAGGAAGAAACAGCAGAGGAAATACACAAGATGGGGCTACCAAAATAGGAAAATTGAGGGGGAAGTGGGGACTGATAGTGATAGTGGTAGTACAGCGGGTAGGGCATTGCCTTGCACACAGCCATCCTGGGTTTGATACCCAGCATCCCGTATGGGCCCCTGAGCACCGCCACGAGTAATAATTCCTGAGTCCAGAGCTAGGAGTAGTCCTTGAGCATTGCTGGGTATGACCCCCCCAAAAAAAGCCAAAAAACAAAAACCAACAACAACAAATTGAGGAGAAGGGTGCCTGGGGAACTCCAGGAGGGAAAAATAACCAATGTAGAGGGTGTGTTTGTTTGTGACTCTAAGTTTGGAAAACATGAGGGTCAGT